GCTCCTCCTGCCTCAGCCTTCCAGGTGCATAGCTGGGTGCACCTACTCTGCACACACCCAGTCTTGGCTGGCCTGGTCCTGCCTCAGTGGGACTTCTCGGCCTAGGAACCTTCGGCCACAGGCACAGCCTTGACCTTCGAGGGGATGGCAGCCGAGGTCGGTGGCCAGCAAGGAGGGCTAAATGTCCCTCACCGCAGATGGCCGCTGTGGGCCTCAAGGGGTTTCTTTCTCAGAGGCCTGTCCCTGGCAGAGTCCCCTGGGGGTTCAGACTCTGAGGGACCCGGAGTCCAGTGGCACCTGGACCCCCTGGAAGGAGCCCACAGCCCACCCAAGCCTCCCTGGCTCCAGCAGCTCTAGATTTCCCATCTGCACGCAGCAGGCTTGGGGTCTGTGACTGCCCTTGCTTGGGGCCTGGGAGCGGCCACCACACTCGAGCTGCAGCCCTGGGCCCTGAGCTGCAGTGGCGCCCCTGGGTCCCCAAGATTCCCTGGCATGATTGCTGAGTGTGTGACCCCATGGACTCCTGGGCTCCAGCTTGGGGACACAGCTCCTGGGGTGGCTGATGGTGTGTCCTGCACACAGACTCTGGGTTGGGTCAGGTCGAGGTGTCCCTCAGTGATCCTGCAGCCACCTGCGTCCCCATGGCAGGGCCCACTCAGCATGGGCCACGATCACTGGGGGCCACACCCACCATCCTGGTTGTCAGGTTCTGGGTCTTTCTCCGTGGCATCTTGCTGTGGTCCATCTGCTGAGAGCTACACCTCATGAGGCAATGTGGGGGTTGTCCCTCCACCCCAAGTGACACTGGGGTGACAGTTTGGTCACCCATCCCCACACGCAGAAGCCTGGCTACAGAAACAAGCTGTGCAGGGGCCTGCAGCTGGTGGGCTGCTTTCCCGTGTGCAGAGCAAGCCAGAGGGTTGCCAGTCCTGGCCACTGCCGTGTCGCCCGTCTCAGGCCGCACTCAGCCTGCAGCGGGAGGTCTGGGCTGGGGTCACCACTGGCCCTCTGCTGGGGGCTGGGCCCAGCACTCACAGCCGCTGGAGTCCAGGCCGGCAAGAGCAGAGGGACTGGCCACCCTACCCTGCCAGGAGGGTATGACTGCTTTTTATTTTCTTCCATTTATGTATTTGGTACAGGGTCTCACTACACAGCTTGGACTCATAGTGATCCCCTATTTTCAGTCTCCCCAGCACTGGAATGACAGGCATTTGCTGCCATGCCTGCTCTTGGTCACCCGGCTCGGTGGCGGAGGGGGTACGGCATGCCTTACCAAAGCGGGCGCTCAGTCCACAGAGCTGCCTCGCCTGGCCTGCTTTCTGTTTGGTGGAGCGGGGGATTGAACTCAGACCCTTGTGCTTGCCAGGCAAGTGCTTGCTTTCAATTCCATACTCAGCTGAAACAGATTGAAGAAAACGAAGCCATGAAACATCCTGTGCTGCTGGTGTGTGTGTGTGTGTGTGTGTGTGTGTGTCTGTGCGTGTGTGTGTGTGTGTCTGTGCGTGCGCGCGCGCATGCGGGCGTGTAGTGGGAGCCAGGGGTCATGGTCCAGCTGGGGAGCCCTTTATTAATTTTCTTTTCATTCATTCATTTATTTTTTTTTTTGTGGAACCGGGGATTGAACTCAGATCCAGGCAAGCGCTTATCCTACTGAGCCATCTCCCCGGCCCCAAGTTTCTTTTCAGATAGGGAGGGTACTGGTAAATCACTGAGTTGCCCAGGCTGGGCTTGAACTTGTGACCCTCCAGCCTTAGCCTTCCAGGGCGCTGGATGACAGGCCTGCGCCCCCAGGCC